TAGTCCATGGTCGGTGCTGGTTTTTAAACTGGCTCCTCATGGACTTGCTCCCACCTGGCACTCTGTGTTGCTGCTTCTGATACAGAGGTGGCAGATGGCTCCTCTGGAGTGGGGCCAGAATACACTGTCTGCCGTCCCCACCTCTGAGGATTATAAAATAGTCGAGTAACTGATAAGAATTCATGAGGTTAATTGACTATTCAGTTAACTGATATTTAACATCGATAGCTGAGACTATACGGACTTGCTCCCACCTGGCACTCTGTGTTGCTGCTTCTGATACAGAGGTGGCAGATGGCTCCTCTGGAGTGGGGCCAGAATACACTGTCTGCCGTCCCCACCTCTGAGGATTATAAAATAGTCGAGTAACTGATAAGAATTCATGAGGTTAATTGACTATTCAGTTAACTGATATTTAACATCGATAGCTGAGACTATACAATGAAGGGGAAATTGTATCTACTGTTGCATCCCATTGATGGGGGGAAGGGGGTCTCTTGCTTGATTGAGATTCCTTCTCACATCTCCCATCTGTTTCCCATTGGTTAGAGCTGAAGGGCAATATGGTTTTCTGTCGGGCACCTATATGTTATATGTGCTCAGTGTTGTACAGGGTGCCTTTGAAAAGTGCACAATAAAACTGATATTAATAAAACTCAGTCCAGAGTGAAAGTCATGTTCTGCAAAGAGCTTAGTACAAATACTTATAATCCAAAGAAGAAGCCAGAGATCCCTAAATATGTACATCTAAAACATATTCCCTTCTTCACAGAGTTTTGCAGAATGGGCCTTAGGAGATTTATCCAAGTTTCTTATTTCCGATGTGCCAGAACATCAGGAATTCTAAAGCATGTACGATACAAGCCTCCAAGTTTGGTACAGTGGAGGCATTCTGGATCATGTCTCTATAAAGCTGTGATCTTTGACATGGGAGGAGTTCTTCTCCCTTCCCCTTACAGAGTGGCTGTAGGTGATTATTTTTGACTGCACATATTGACTGGAGTAGCTGATCAGTGACCTCCTTGTGCATTTAATACAAGTATATTTCACATGTGTTTTATCATTCTCGCGGGTGGTTCCAATTCCCAGTGAACACTTATATACATTATAAAAATTAGTAGAATTGAAATAGTTTGCAGGTGGGAGGTCCGGGTTTGAATGGGGGTGAAAATTAAACTGTCCTGGATAGGGATGTGAAGAGGTGGGTAATTGACTGACTAATCATGTGGTAGATAATTTGTATCGACTACATGATTAGTCAATAAGGGAAGGTGCTCTGTCCTAGCTTGCGCCGGTCCAGGAGCTACCCCTGCTGTGGCTCTTCAGTTTAAATGTAGTAGGAACTGGGCATGCAGGCAGTCTAGATTCTACTACATTTAAACTGCAGAGCCATAGTGGGGGTAGCTCACGGATCCAGGACTGTCCAGTCCTGGATTGCGTTGGTCCAGGAATGCTGGAGCTCTGCATTTTAAATGCGGCGAGGAGTCCTGTGGCACCTTATAGACTAACTGAAAGTTAGTTCAGTTAGTCTATAAGGTGCCACAGGACTCCTCGCCGCATTTAAAATGCAGAGCTCCAGCATTCCTGGACCAACGCAATCCAGGACTGGACAGTCCTGGATCCGTGAGCTACCCCCACTATGGCTCTGCAGTTTAAATGTAGTAGGAACTAGACTGCCTGCATGCCCAGTTCCTACTACATTTAAACTGAAGAGCCACAGCACGGG